CTAACTAATATAATACTTAATTATATATTATAGTAATTATGTAAAATTAAAACATCTTCTTAACTTACATATACGACTAAACAATATTTTGTTATTTCGATATTCTTTTGCCTTGGAATTGTTTTTGTTTCATATGTTAACTTAATCATATAAAACGTAGCAAACAACTTTTTTTGTTGTTCTACACTAAAACTTGTAAATAAAATTGTCCTTACATGATTCCAGTAGGTAGTCACGTGTTGCTGCAGAGGGAAAATTATAAGTCACTTTGTTGTAACACAGTAAAACTAAGTAGTCACGTGTTACTGCAGAGGGAAAATTGTAAGTCACTTCTTTGTAACACAGTAAAACTAGGTAGTCACGTGTTGCTGCAGAGGGAAAATTGTAAGTCACTTCTTTGTAACACAGTAAAACTAGGTAGTCACGTGTTGCTGCAGAGGGAAAATTGTAAATCACTTTGTTGTAACACAGTAAAACTAGGTAGTCACGTGTTGCTACACAGTGGAAGATTTAAGTCACTTCTTTGTAACACAGTAAGACTAGGTAGTCTCGTGTTGCTGCACAGGGGAAGTTATAAGTCACTCCTTTCTAACACAGTAAAACTAGGTAGTCACGTGTTGCTGCACAGTGGAAGTTTTAAGTCACTTCTTTGTGACACAATAAAACTAGGTAGTCTCGTGTTGCTGCACAGAGGAAGTTATAAGTCACTTCTTTCTAACACAGTAAAACTAGGTAGTCACGTGTTGCTGCACAGTGGAAGTTTTAAGTCACTTCTTTGTGACACAATAAAACTAGGTAGTCACGTGTTGCTGCACAGTGGAAGTTTTAAGTCATTTCTTTGTAACACAATAAAACTAGGTAGTCACGTGTTGCTGCACAGTGGAAGTTTTAAGTCATTTTGTCGTAACACAGTAAAACTAGGTAGTCACGTGTTGCTGCACAGTGGAAGTTTTAAGTAACACAATAAAAGTCACGCTCTATAAAAAGAAAGTTCCATATTGGCAGATTAATTATTAAATGTTGATTAACTTTCACAGACGAATTATTAAATGTTGATTACCTTTCAGATTTTTTTGTAAATGTCACGTTTTATGTAATTTTTCTCACTTCCCAGTCTGCGGCACCCTACCTGAGCTGTCGGTGAGAATTATAAACGGTGAGGAAACGTCTGTCAACAAATACCCCTGGATGGTACTTCCTCTTCTCTCTATTTTTTCGTAAAGAACATTTTTGCCATATTAAAAACTAACTTGTATGTCGTGGTATAAAAGACTGATTAGTGTAGATATTATTAATGTATTTATTTTGTGAGTCATTATTGTCTAGTTTTTATAATAAGAGAGTTAAAAGCAGACGATTATTAGAAGTTGTGTTTATAATTCATTGATGTTGAGACTATTGAATGTTGTGTGCAATACATTGACATATAAATAGTGTGAGACGAGCAGAAACAGCAGATAGACAATAGCAGAAAAGAGTAAAGTCGCGGCCAAGGAAAAGTTCGGCGTGAAGTTAATTGTCGTAGAAGTGATAGGCCTAACGTTTAATATGTTAGAGTAAGACTAACAGTAGAAAAAGGAGGAAAGAAAAATAATTTATTCCGTCAAAACGTGGTTCTAAAGTAATTGAATCAACCTGAGTGCACTTTGACAAAAGGAACAGAGGATATATTGAAAAAAAAAAGACCAAACGATCACTGCAAGAGCAGTATACGACTGCGGTAACTCGCGCCACAATTGTAAGTGAATTATACACAGAATACTAGTGCGATAGAAATAGGGAAAAGTAATTTGGCTTGTCAACTGAAATTCTAAAGTAATTGAATAAGCCTAAGTGGACTTTTGACCAGATGACGAGAACCATCTAGTATTTATGATATCCCTATAATCACTATAGTGTGAAAAATTTGTTGTACATACGTTTAACTTATTCCGAAAATATATATATATTATTTTGGAAACAAGTGGAGTGCGTGCTGTTCATTTATCGTTGAATTTATCGCTAAAAAGTCACAGACACCTATTGTAGAAGAATCCTAAGCTCAACAACAACATAGTATATGTTTATACTATTAAGAAATATAAGTAAAAGCCTTAAATTGACAATTGGCGATCTTAACATCTGACATTGTATGAAGTGACATACAAAAGTTATTAAAATACCTGAAACTCAAGTAAGGAAATACAAACTTAGCCAATGTACATCCATGTTACACATCTGTTAAATACAAGCTAATAGAAGAAAGGAAGTACAAACTCAGCCAATGTACATCCATGTTACACAACTGTTAAATACAAGCTAATAGAAGAAAGGAAGTACAAACTCAGCCAATGTACATCCATGTTACACATCTGTTAAATACAAGCTAATAGAAGAAAGGAAGTACAAACTCAGCCAATGTACATCCATGTTACACAACTGTTAAATACAAGCTAATAGAAGAAAGGAAGTGCAAACTCAGCCAATGTACATCCATGTTACACAACTGTTAAATACAAGCTAATAGAAGAAGGAAGTACAAACTCAGCCAATGTACATCCATGTTACACAACTGTTAAATGCAAGCTAATTCTTACCGACTAACCTTACTCCTCCTCTTTAAACCATATTTCAGTAAACAACAAGAGTCTCTAAGTGTATTTACCATTCATGTGCACTGCTAGATCAAAACATCTGATATTTAACAAAAATCAATCTAATATCAAATTAATTGTAGCCAATAGAGAAAAAAAGTGTTTTATGTAAAACATCCAAGTAGGAAAGACTACAAATATCCAGTAAAATAATTAGAACACAACAAAATACAATAGTACAGCCAGAGATCTGACCTTAAATATAAACAAGCTGAAGATTACTGAATATAGTACTGAATTCCTCATTCTGATCCACCATAGCTTGGTTTGTTGCAGGTTTCTTTACGTACACAGAGAAAAAGAAACAGAAAAGGAAGTTGTGGAGGAATACTTATCAGTCCTTCCTATGTACTGACCGCTGCCCACTGTTCAACAAGGTAAGCTTTGTTTATGGTGGTCAGTATTCTACTTATCAGTCCTTCCTATGTACTGACTGCTGCCCACTGTTCAACAAGGTAAAGTTTCTTTATGGTGGTCAGTCTTTTCCTTATCAGCCCTTCCTATGTACTGACTGCTGCCCATTGTTCAACAAGGTAAGCTTTGTTTATGGTGGTCAGTCTTTTACTTATCAGTCCTTCCTATGTACTGACCACTGCCCACTGTTCAACAAGGTAAGCTTTGTTTATGGTGGTCAGTCTTCTACTTATCAGCCCTTCCTATGTACTGACTGCTGCCCACTGTTCAACAAGGTAAGCTTTGTTTATGGTGGTCAGTCTTCTACTTATCAGTCCTTCCTATGTACTGACCGCTGCCCACTGTTCAACAAGGTAAGCTTTGTTTATGATGGTCAGTCTTCTTTTCGTGTAGTGTGTGACTGCTGCCCACTGTTCAACAATGTAAAAAAGTGTGTTTATGGTGGTCAGTCTTCTCCTTATCAGCCCTTCCTATGTACTGACTGCTGCCCACTGTTCAACAATGTAAAACAGTGTTTATGACGATCAGTCATCCTCTTACCAGTCAGTTTTGTGTTTTGACTAGTGCTCACTGTTCAATCGTTAAGCTTAAGTTGAAACGTGTTGTTTTCTATCATACTTTCGGTTGTTAAACTGAAGTACTAGTTAATACATGGTGTTTTCTAAAGACTAGATGATGTAGTTGCCAGGAAACTAACTCAATAATACTCACCTTACCGGGATACTTCTTCAATAATACTCACCTTACCGGGCTACTTCCTCAGCAATATTCACGTTACCAGGAAACTTCCTCAATAATACTCACCTTACCGGGATACTTCCTCAATAATACTCACCTTACCGGGCTACTTCCTCAGTAATATTCACGTTACCAGGAAACTTCCTCAATAATACTCACCTTACCAGGAAATTATCTCGTTTATACTTACGTTACCCGGAAATTACCTCAGTAATACTCACCTTACCAAGAAATTACCTCAATAATTCTCACGTTACTAGGAAATTACCGCAGTAATACTAACGTTACTAAGAAATTACTTCAGCAATACTCACGTTACCAGGAAATTACTTCAGTAATACTCACGCTACCAGGACAACCTCAGTAATACTCACGTTACCAGGAAATTACTTCAGTAACACTCACGCTACCATGACAACCTCGGTAATACTCACGTTACTAGGAAATTACCTCAGTAATACTCACGCTACCAGGACAACCTCAGTAATACTCACGTTACTAGGAAATTACCTCAGTAATACTCACGCTACCAGGACAACCTCAGTAATACTCACGTTACTAGGAAATTACCTCAGTAATACTCACGTTACTAGGAAATTACTTCAGTAATACTCACGTTACTAGGAAATTAACTCAGTAATACTCGCGTTACCAGGAAATTACCTCAGTAATACTCACGCTACCAGGACAACCTCAGTAATACTCACGCTACCAGGACAACCTCAGTAATACTCACGTTACCAGGAAATTACTTCAGTAACACTCACGCTACCAGGACAACCTCAGTAATACTCACGTTACTAGGAAATTACCTCAGTAATACTCACGTTACTAGGAAATTACTTCAGTAATACTCACGTTACTAGGAAATTACTTCAGTAATACTCACGTTACTAGGAAATTACCGCAGTAATACTAACGTTACCAGGAAATTAACTCAGTAATACTCACGTTACCAGGACAACTTCAGTAATACTCACGTTACTAGGAAATTACTTCAGTAATACTAACGTTACCAGGAAATTACCTCAGTAATACTCACGCTACCAGGAAATTACCTCAGTAATACTACGGAAAATGCATGGTGATAGTCTTATGTTTCTAGATAATAATTTTGTTTTCGAATTTCTGTGACCAAAAAATGATAATTTTTTTTCATATAATGCTGGTATAAGTCTTAGAAAACTAAAACTAATAAAATTCCACTTTCTGTAGAAATAACAGAAGAAAACCTCTAAAACCCGATCAAACTGAGGTAGTGGCAGGCGAGCACGACAAATGGGTGATCGAAACTCACTCTGAGGTTCTGGACGTTGAAAGGGTGATAATCCACCCCCAGTATCGGCCCAAATCTATTTTAAACGACATTGCACTGTGGAAGTTGAAAAATCCAGTGGAACTAACCGAATACGTCGATCTAATCTGTTTACCCCGAACAGATGTTGACTTTAGTGGCATGCAAGGGACGGTATTAGGATGGGGGTGGACCAATGCCGATGGTAATGGTCTCTTTTTTTCGTTTTGGGGGTGTTATCCAGAAGTATAAAATACGCAGTTTTCTTTTCACGTGGATTTGATGTACCTAGGACAGTGTGTCAGAGTTTATAAGAATAGTACGTTTCAAATAAAATTTGACATCCATTTAAACTAATGTCATAAATAACACTTTATTGGTATTATAGTTACTTATAAATAACACTTGTCTGGTATTATTGTTACTTATAAATAACACTTTACTGGTATTATAGTTACTTATAAATAACACTTTACTGGTATTATAGTTACTTGTAAATAACACTTTACTGATATTATTGTTACTTATGAATAACACTTTACTGATATTATAGTTACTTATGAATAA